CGCCCAGGCTGAAGTTCAGTGGTGCAATCTCAGCTCACTGCAACCTCTGCCTCCCAGGTTCAACTGATTCTCCTGCCTCAGCCTCCCAAGTTAGTGGGATTTCAGGCACCTGCCACCACACCCGGCTAATTTTTGTATTTTTGATGGAGATGGGATTTTGCCATGTTGGTCAGTCTGGTCTCAAACTCCTGACCTCAGGTGATCCGCCCACCCCGACCTCCCAAAGTGCTGGGATTAGAGACGTGAGCCACCACACCTGGCCCTCTTCAAATAGATTTGATAAGAATTAGATTAGCAGTAGGGTTTCCTCTTAGAGCTATAAAAATAAAAGATTCTTAATAATTCTTAAGCCACACAGAAGCATGTACTCCCTTACCATGTAGATTCTTTACTGTCTACTTCATTACCATATGGAGTCTGCTGCGGTAGCCATCAGGGTTTTTGTTTTGACTGGGGAGCTTACATCTTTCAAGTTGGGTCACTTTGCATATAGTAGTAAAGTCTGGTGCTTTATGAAACTCTTCTTGGCTCCTGGCTTCTGCCTAGGTGCTCACAGCCTTCCAGATGGTGTCGGATGGGAGGCTGAGAGGACAGGACTCTCCCTCCTAGATCACTCAGAGTAGTTTTGCTTTAAACTGCTTTGATTATTTGGTTTCTGAGCAGGATTTCATAGATTTTAAAAAATATGTTTCATAGATTTAATTTGAAAATAGGTTTCTGCCTTTTTTTTTTTTTTTTGAGACAGGGTCTTGCTCTGTCACCCAGGTTGGAGTGCAGTGGCATTATCATGGCTCACTGTAGCCTTGACCTCCTGGGCTCAAGCAGTCCTCCCACCTCAGCCTCCTGAGTATCTGCGTCCACAGGCAGGCACCATCACACCCAGCTAGTTTTCTCTAATTTTTGTAGAGAGGAGGCTTTGCCGTGTTGCCCAGGCTGGTCTTGAACTCCTGGGCTCAAGCGATCCTCTTGCCTTGGCCCCTCAAAGTGCTGGGATTACAGGTGTGAGCCACCACATCTGGCCTGCTTTCTGTGTTTTTAAGATGTTAGAAAATTTGTTATAGATTTTGTAATAATAATAAAGTACCTTCTCTTTATTTTTGAAACCAGAGTTACGGCATAACTAACATAACAAATAGTAATTCCTGACAACCTCATTTATCTAAAGCCCCCCACTCAGCCAACCTTAATTGTATAGATTTTAGCTAAGAAAAAAAGCCTCTGGACAACTCCTTAACCCTTACTCTAAATCTCTAATTTTTATTGTAGGCAAATCTCTAACAAGTGTGTTTGCTAGGTTTATCTAGCCTGCAGCAAACTAGACCTGGGCGGGAATAAAGGAGATGGTTGTGGTGGCAGAGCCAGGTACAAGGCTAGAAAGTTCACACCGAGAGCTGAAATTGCATGCCTGACAAGGAGAAAGAAGGTAGAGAAAACTAAGGCAGGCCCAAGAACTCAGAAGTCACAGCCATCTGGGTTCAAAGGGACACTTAAGCGCTGCTTTGTATTTCCTAGATGATGGTTGATGCCTCTAATACCCACCCCCAGTAAGCATGGAAGCAAAGTGTGTGTTCAGTGCATTCCGTAAAGTGCACTGCAGGGACAAGCAGTCTGTTTTAGAAAGAGTCCCATGGTTAGCATATAGACAGTTTGGATCCTTCCCAGAGTATCATACACAGAAAAGTTCCCCTTTTACAGGCCCTATTGCCAGGAGAGTAGATGGCAGCTCTTTCTCCCCTCCCACCTCCACAACACAGGCGGTGTCCTTCCCTTTCAAACACCCCCTGATGGGGATGCTCTGTCCTTTCTGTGGACCAGGCCTAGTAGGTTCACAGGTCTCTTACAAGCTGCTCAAAGGAAGGGAAGTTGAGGGAAATCTTCCACATAGATTTTTTTCCTTTGTGTGCATCCATTCAACCCATTACATTGCATTTTATTTTCTTTTAAAAGTTGATTTTATTTTTCTGATTTTAGTTATTGTGAAAAAGGGCAGCTGGGCACAAAGGTTCACAGCTGTAATCCCAGCACTTTGGGAGGCCGAGGTGGGTGGATCACCTGAGGTCAGGAGTTCAAGACGAGTCTGGCCAACATGGTAAAACCCTGTCTCTGCTAAAAATACAGAAATTAGCTGGGCATGGTGGCGTGTGCCTAAAGTCCCAGCTGCTCAGGAGGCTGAGGCAGGAGAATTGCTTGAACTTGGGAGACAGAGGTTGCAAGTGAGCCAAGATTGCGCCACTGCACTCCAGCCTAGGAGACAGAGTGAGACTCTGTCTCAGAAAAAGAAAAGAAAAGAAAAGAAAAAGGGCAAGTATAAAGAACAAAATGGAATCACAGTTATTCCCGATCTCACCATCTGAGACAGCCACTCTTAACATTTTGGCAGATTCCCCTCCAGTCCTTTTCCCTGAGTAGTTTTACACAGCTGAGGTCATTCTGTACAAATGCTCATGTCTTGCTTTATGCACTTAACATTATATCAGAATCACTCTTGGTGAATATTTTTAATGTCTGTATGGCTTTACCTTGTATGGACATTCATAGTTTACCTAACTATGTCCTGTTTAATACTTAACTCGCTTATTATATATCAAGACACTGCCCACTGCCTTTGAAAGAGGTGAATACTTTGTGTATGTGATAATATTTGCTGTGTGCAGTTCTGCAGGAAGAAGTTCAGTTCTTTCAGTGCATTTCGTTTTAAGGATGGTTTGAAACTTTTTGTTTAAACCAACTCTATTATGACACACTTACTGAACTCAGAATTTCCTGGGATTTCAAACAGTTCTTCTGCTGATGCTGGATCACAGACTGATCCTCTCCTTTAGACAAAACACACACTTTTGGTATCTCTGGGCTCACCAGAGCGGAGGGGCATCAGGGACGGGGGACTCATAATCGGAGATGGCATATAAGACCTGACTTGGACATGGTGGGAAAGTGATGGCTGGGCATGTTGGGATGGGAAAAACAGCAGATGAAATGAGTGGACAATACAAGGAGGAAGAGGAGACAGACCCTGTCACTTGTCAGTTGTGGAAGAAGAGTGTACAGTCAGGGGTTGAAGGTTATTGTTGAGAGGTGAGCTCGCTCTGAGGAAGAAATTAGAAAAGTGAAAAAAGCCATGTCTGTGTTTCAACACTCTCTCCCAGAAGGATTGAATACTAAACTTGACATCCACTTCTGATCTTAGGGAAGATGAGAGAGGTCAGTTCAGCTCTGGGGCAGTTGCTGAAATGCAACCATTCGTGAGAAGAAAGAACAAGGTTTAAAAAAGTAAAAGATAATAATTGTAAGAAGCTGAGACACTGCACATTATGGAGATGCTATTTTGCTATTTCTAAGCATATTATTTATATTAGAAATATTATAAGGTAGAGGCCAGGTGCAGTGGTTCATGCCTGTAATACCAGCACTTTGAGAGGCCAAGGTAGGCAGATCACTAGGTCACCAGCTCAAGACCAGCCTGGCCAACATGGTGAAACTCCATCTCTACTAAAAAATAGCTAGGCATGGTGGTGCATGCCTGTAATCCCAGCTACTGGGGAGGCTCACTTTAACCCAGGAGGTGGAGGTTGCAGTGAGCCGAGTTCACACCACTGCATTCCAGTCTGGGTGACAGAGCAAGACTCCCATCTCAACAAAAAAAAAAAAAAAAAAAAAAGAAGAAATATCATAAGGGGGGAATACCTTATATTTGTAGTTCTTTCTACTATTCTTCCCATCTCTTACCTCTTGAACCTCTGGCACTTCAGTGAGGCTGTAAATACAGGAATTATGATTCATTTTCTTTTCTTTTCTTTTCTTTTTTTTTCTTTTTTTTGAGACGGAGTTTCGCCCTGTTGCCAGGCTGGAGTGCAATGGTGCAATCTCAGCTCGCTGCAACCTCCGCCTCCCAAGTTCAAGCGATTCTCCTGCCTCAGCCTCCACAGTAGCTGGGATTACAGGTGTGTGCCACCACACCCAGCTAATTTTTGTATTTTTAGTAGAGACGGTGTTTCAACATGTTGGTCAAGCTGGTCTCAAACTCTTGACCTCATGATCCGCCCGCCTCAGCCTCCCAAAGTGCTGGGATTATAGATGTGAGCCACCACACCCAGCCTTACAGGAATTATTCTTACCTCACAGACAGGTAAGCAGTTGGGGTTCTAAAAAATAAAGTAATCTCCCTGAAATAACACAGAGAATCTTCCTCTATGAAAGATCAGGACTAGCATCCAGGTTTTGCAAAGCCCAACTCAGTGTACTTTTCATTTCATCTTACATTGCTTAAGAAAGCCAGGCATGTCCCAGGTACCATCCACTGGTGATCACTGAGGTGTACCTTGGCTGGGGTGGGGGCTGTGGAAGACGATGCCTGTTCACCGAGACAGTACCTTTGAGAAACTGCCATTCTGCCCCTTATATCCTGATTGGGAAGCTTCTAGGACCTATCCGTGTGCCTTACTCAGGGACACTCAAAGATCTTGGAAGGTATAAATGGACATGTTTTATGAGTACAAATGGACTACAGTTTAGCAAGTAGAAAGCTTGGGTTCTAGCCCCAGCTCTGCCATTAGCTGTGTGAGCATAGATAAACTCTTTCCCCTTGAGGTTTGAGCATCACTGACTCTGTAAAGAAATAAGTTGGTTCTGGAAGTGGACAGCAGTGATAGTTGCACAATATTGTAAATATATTTAATGCCACTGAATTGTGGGATTGTAAATAATTGAAATGGGCCAGGCATGGTGGCCCAAGTCTATAATCCCATTACTTTGGGCAGCCGACACAAGCAGATCACTTGAGATCAGGAGTTTGAGATCAGCCTGGCCAACGTGGCAAAAACCCATCTCTACTAAAACTATAAAAGTTAGCCAGGCACTGTAGTCTATGCCTGTAGTCCCAGCTACTTGGGAGGCTGAGGCAGAAGAATCACTTGAACCTGGAGGCGGAGGTCACAGTGACCTGAGATTGCACCACTGCACTCCAGCCTGGGTGACAGAGCAAGACTCTATCTTTTAAAAAAAAAAGTTGAAATGGTAAATTATATGTTATACATATTTTATATAATAAACAGAAAATAAGTGGATTGTACTAGATGATCTCTCCTGTGAGCTCCATGAGTCTGTGACATTTTAAAGGCTGAAACTAGAACCACAGACAGAGCAGCATTTTGATCTCTTGGGGACTCCAGGCTATTTTGTGGTTTCTCAGACCCTCCTTACCTACTCCAGATTCCATCTGCAGCAGACAGCTTAATGGGCTGCCTGTCCGTTGTATGGCAGCTCATCATTACAAGCTCCTCAATATTAACAGAGGGAGCCCAGTGACAGACACTTATAAGCAGTCTTCTTACAGGTGAGATGTCACATGCCTTGCTCCGTGAGGCCATCTTCAGCCACATTTGTTTTACCTGTGCTGGAAGGCTGTGCTCACCAGCTCGTGGCTGTGTTCCATGCCAGTCAGGCCACGGGGCAAAGGCAGGGTATAGGAATAGCCACAAGCTTGCCGAGGTGATAACTGCTATATCCCAGCAGAGTTGGGAAGTTTTTTATAATTGAAAAGCTAATTGTTGGTTTCTTTTCACTTTTAAAACGAGTTCTATTAAATTCACTTTCTACTGCCCCACGAAATCCAATAATTTGCTAAGTGAGCATTTGCTAAGAGGATGTGGTAAGTTTAGTTTCATAACTTACCTCAGCTTTTTCGGTCACAGATTCACAGCACCTTCATCCTAGAAGGGCTCTGGGAGATATCGAGTCCGTCTCTCTCATTGTAGGTGGAGGAACTGAGGCTCAGAGAAGGAAAAGGAACTGTCAAGCAGCCGTTCAGTGAATTTCCACCTCACTTCTATACTTAAGAAAGTGAATTTATTTCGCCTGTTGCCACTTTCTGTAAATCAGAGGAAATTCGCAGGAGAAATTACGATGCTCAATTCATTTAATGTTTCCTTATCATTAGTCAGAAGTCATGTTAATTTGCAGAGCTGGTTTGTCCACAGGGGATTGTAGATTTCCTACTGGGGAAACAGCTTGTGTCTTTGTAAGACAGGGCGTCCTGAAAGCCTGCTGTAGCCGGAGGCTGTTTGATTAGGTAACTGCTTTGCATAAAGGATTGGCACATTTTATTTGTCACCATTTAGTCTATTAACTGGAAGAACTGAGCCCCATGATATCAAGGATGGCTTGAGAAGAGAAATGATGTCCCTATCCTTGATGGAATGAATTATCTGTTTCCTACAGGGTTACAGTTTCTAATTAAAACGTTGTTTTAATCAAAAGATTCTCTGTATTTTATGGCACTTTCTTGACTCTTTCTAAGTTCCTTCCCATTTAATTATTATAATGAACATAATTAGTATGTGCCATCAACCCTTCACTGTATTTGCATTTTGTATTGAATAATTAAATGTGGTCTGATAATTAAATTAACTCAAATGACAGATGATTTGACTGCCTGCATATTGCTATATTGGGAATATGCACCTTTGCATACTCATTTGAGTTAGCAACTGGCTTTTTCATTTGGAAAGCCCCATAGATGGCAGCTATCAGAGTTGGAGTTTCTTTCGATCCCAGAAACAAGGATCCCTTTGATCCTTCCTCCCCCATCGAGCTCTCTCTAGTGAAGTCTGTGCTGATCATGTAACCGCCTGCTCTGCACCACACCCTGCCAAAGGCTCCTGAAAGCTTCTGGGCAGATCAGAACAGGCAAGCAAGTTGGACAGTGAAGCTCATGAAACTCTGAGCCTGAGCCGTATGCCATGCATTTTCCAGGTGTTTTGTAACCCAGTGACTTAGTGAGAAACCCCAAACGTTAATTTAACTGCAGGTTGAAACCCCAAACGTTAATTTAACTGCAGGTTCCAAAAATGAATCTGCTGTACTCACCTCGGGTGTTTCCCTGCACACAGAAATAAGGAGTGGTTTCCTAGAGTCATGGTGTGTTAAGAGTTGCAGTTTTCCACAATCCCATTCCAGCAGAGAACTTTCAGAGGTGGCCTAATTCCCGCTCAGACATTCTTACTTCACTCTTTGTGTCCCTCAAAGGCAGCTGGTCAGTCCTAGGTCACACCCATTTGGGAAACTCCCCTAGCCCCATCCCACTTCACGAATGGAGGCTGCTGCGGTGGGCTCAGCGTGGAAACTCCAGCACTCAAGGCCTTTCTGTTCTCCCAGAGTTGGCAGCTCATTCTCCAGCTGTCACACAGGCATTCCGATTTCTGTATTTTCTTTCTTTCTGTGACAGATACGTTCCTTTCATAAAATACAAATACATCACGTCTAAGGAAGAGCCAAGAGTTTCAACAATACAACCATTTTGGAACCACGTTACCCTCAATATCATAGCACCAAAGAAAAAATGTGGGGCTTTTTTTTTCCCAGAAGTAGAACAAAAAATTCCTATTTAAAAATAATTTATACCTAAACATTTATTTTAAGACTTCTAATGAGTGAACTGGCTGACATAAGAAAAGAATGGAGAAATTTGCCCATTAGCAATTTTGGCCAGTTGCATTTAAAATCACCAACTTCACAGAATCCAAATAAAAAATACCGTTTATTTTTCTCACTTTGGTGAATTTTTCCGCCCAAGGGTAGTTTGAAGCACCGCATGCTCACACTGGATACAGTTTTTACTCCACAAGCCTCCGAGAGGTCAGAAGGAACTCCTGGCTTGCCTGAGTGGCTGTGTTGCTGTCTACATCAGCTGGGCTAGACAGCAGCCAGCCCGGGGAGCTGCTGCCAGGTCAGGAGTCTCCAGGAACCTCAGTTATCCTTTGCTTACTTGAAAATCTTCTACTGGGGCATGAAATCTGCACCAGAAAATGAGGCCAGAAGGAATCTTTTGTCAAAGTTTAATTTATGACCAATAATACATTTTTTCTGAGCTTGCCTTGGCCTTCAGCCATGGAGGGAGCCTTTATAATAAAAATCACTCTGAGATCGACTGTAAGGACTTAGGCCAGAATCACAGAGAATGCCTCTCCTGAGATAGGAGATTTTCTGTTAGACCCTCACCAGTAAGAGAAAGCCCATCACTATGGAACTAACACTGGTACAGCACTCAGGACCACTGGATCCTTCTACAGCTTTACAGCTGTTTGACCCTGCGTAAGTCACTGCCCTTCTCTGAGCTTTAGTTTCCTGTCTGTATAGAATTAGCCTGGGTGCTCTGAAGAGGCCTTTCAGCTCTGTTAGAGGATGAATATATAATTCTAAGTCCCACCACAGCAGCCTCCATTCATGAACTGGAAATTGGGAAGTTATGGCCAGACCAGCTGTCGGAACATGGTTCCCCATCTGTGGAGAACCACTGGCAATGAGGGGAGTTGGAATAGATGATCTCTGAAGGCCTGTGAACCTGCAGACATACTAAAATCCTGCGCTATGAGCAATCACTGCCCACACCTGCATAGCTATGACATTTACACATGGTAAAAAGAGAAGGCGCTTAGAGTATTTTTTTCTTACAAACAAAGGAAAAAAGTCATTACATAAAATATGCCACCCCCAAATTCTCAATAAGTACCTATTCTGATATTGAAGAAAAGAGAACTGACCACTTACACACACACACACACACACACACACACACACACACACACACACACACACACGGTACTGAAAAGATTATGTCCATCACGGATTTGTGCATCCATCCTCTGCCTACAGGGTTCCTCTGTGGACCAAAACATGTAGAAGTACAGAGGATCCTCCCACCTCAGGGGCTCTGGATTGCCACTTAAAACACCGTTTTGACGCAGCTGCCAAGGGGACTTTAGAGTATCAGTCTGATTCTGGTCAGCTGCCAGCTCCCCTTTCCACAGGGGCATGCCTGGTTCACCTGGACATACCTGACAGGTGATAAACCTATGCTTGTCTGGAAGGCAGTGAAAGAGAATCTCCACTCACCACCTTGGGCTGTAGAGGTAGAAGGGAAGGAGACCTCACAACCAAATAATTCTCTTACTTATGGGGGAACCGCTAAACTGAAAACACACCACAGATTTAACTCAGAGGTGCACTGAGATTGTGTGAGGAAGAGACACTGGTAAATGGCTCACATGAATCAATGTGAGCATTTAATGGGCCTTAATTGGAACCTTATCCTTCTATACTCAGAGCAGAGAGATGAAAGCAGAAGAAATCTGAGAGACCATTTATTTCACTTGAGAAAGCAGTAAACTGGAAACTCCAAAAAGATTTGATGACTGTTATATTTTTATGATTAAATAAAATTGTCATGGACTAGCACTGGAGAGCCCATAAATGCTGCATGGAATGTATCCATGCTCTCTGGCAGCTATTAGGTTATGACCAGAAAACCTATCAGCCTGTGCACTGCATTTATTAACCCTGCTGTTATACCACCCAAAAACTCCACGGGAGGGAAAGTTTGTCCTCATTTCTCACAGGAAAGGTCCGAAACCCACTTGGAACCTTTGAATTTTAAGGCATTATTAAATGCTGTCCAATCACCTACCCACCTCCCTGCCCCTCCATACACATACCCCGTTAATCCGTGATGGACATAATCTTTTCAGTACCGTGTGTGTGTGTGTGTGTGTGTGTGTGTGTGTGTGTGTGTGTGTGTCTGTGTGTAAGTGGTCAGTTCTCTTTTCTTCAATATCAGAATAGGTACTTATTGAGAATTTAGGGGTGGCATATTTTATGTAATGACTTTTTTCCTTTGTTTGTAAGAAAAAAATACTCTAAGCACCTTCTGTTTTTACCATGTGTAAATGTCATAGCTATGCAGGTGTGGGCACTGATTGCTCATAGCGCAGGATTCTAGTATGTCTGCAGGTTCACAGGTCTTCAGAGATCATCTATTCCAACTCCCTTCATTGCCAGAGAGGAAAAGGATTCACTCCAGGTCACTGGAACCAGGCTTCCTGATACATTATCCAGGGCTTTCTGTGACCAACTTTCCTCCCATCCCCAGCCCCAGTGGTAAAAGAGACACGGATAATGCAAATATACAAAAAATCCAAAATATAGTAGCTTCTGAAATGTGTGATGACCTGGAGAGTCTGTTTAAGTTACAAGGACAGTGCTTGTTTTAACGCAAGTTAAAACGGAAGCAGCGCTTGCTGCCGTAGTCCCTGATGGACTGTAGGGCCCATGACTTTTAGCTTAGCCAAGTCTTTGAGAAAATCTAGCTCTACTTTCTTGTGCTGTGTTTGAACAGAATTTAAAATATGCTTTATTTAAAAGGTAACGCTGCTCACAGAATAGACAACATGAAAGAAGGAAACAGAGCCCCTAACAGAACAGAAGACTGGAGGGTAACTCATTATTGGAGAAATGCCAGTAGTGTGAGCTTTTTGTCCACGTGAACATTCATCACTCATTCCTCTCATTTATCAACTTTTACAAAATGCCCACACTGTGTCAAACCATGTGTTAGGAGATGCAGAAATGAGTACAACTCAGACCTTTTCCTTGTGAGGTCCACAGCCAGGGGCAGTGCCTTCAGTGCTGAGACTCATTCCTTCAGCAGACATGTACTGAGTGCCTGGTACTGTTCCAGACACCCAGGATACAGTGGGAAGCAAAATAAGCAAAGTCCCTGCCCTCAAGTCACTGACATTCTGGGGGCGAGGGGAATAATGAACAAACCTGGATCTACGCCAGAGTTTCCTCTTGAAAATGTTTCACAGTGGAGGTGGGAGTTTGAGCTGATACCTGTAAATTCAGTAGATACTTACAAGGTAGCAAGGTAGGAAAGACATTCTAGGTACTGGAAGGAACATGAGCAAAGGTACTGAGATGTAAAGTGGCCTGGCAGCTTCAGGGAACTGCAAGCTGTTTATTCTGACTGAAGCTCAGGATGTGGGAACAAGCACTAAGACTAAAGAGGCAGTCAGGGCCCAACTCATGAGGATGCGAGAAGTTGAGGATTGATCCCCTCGGAGATGAGGACGCCTCAGTGTTACAAGTAGGAGAATGATATGCTCAGACTATGTCCCAAAGTCCCGGATGTGGAGACTGGTAGGTGGGCATCAGACTTCCACTGAAGCCCCAGGGCTGTAAACAAGCATCCCTGGTTCTGAAGCATTATTCTCCCCTGCAGGAATAGCGTGATGTTTGAGCAGGGGAAAAGCCTTTTTTGCATCCCTCTGCTATTGGTACCCAGCAGAGAGCCTTTTCCATAGGAAGCAGACAGTAAGTAGCTGGTCAGGGGCCATCTCATTTAGTTTCCCTGGAGGGACACAGCAAAACAGCCATTCACCCCTCACTACATGAGGAAAACCCTTGTTTTTAGGATCACCTGGTTTCCAAAGCCTAAAGAAGGCCAAGCCCCCAACTACTGGCGTTAGCTTCTTCTGATAATCCTGGCTGCTTGCTTTCCTCTTTCCCTTCCTCCTCCTCCCTCATCCCTCCTCCTCCTTGACACTTTGCTGGTGCTAGAGAGCAATGGATCCCTGGGACCACCAGGAAGAAGGCTAGTGCATAAGGGGCCTCCTCCCCACACGGTCTGCCAAGACTGCTATACTTAATCTCAGCTTGGAAATCATCTAATGGAAGAAGCAGATCTGGGAGGACAGGAATTTGTTTGCAGTGCTAGCCAAGGGACTCTGTGTGTTTCTCTGCTCTGATTTTGACTTGATCATGTATACGTATAGACGCTTCACATTTTTCTCCTGAAATATTAAAACAAAGCCACTTCTGCACCCTCCCTACCCTAACCCCAAGGCATCAGATTAAGCAAGGTGTGTGTGTTTGGGGCACACCCTATTCTTTATGAGACATAGAGGTCACTGGCCTCAAGGACCCTCTTGTTATATTGCTCCTTGGCCTAGTCTCCAGGTGTGACAAACTTGGCAAGAGCAATGTGGACAGAGATGCTTGGCTCTTATACTGGCCTAGCCTGGCCACTGTAGCTGCTGCCTTTTTACCATAGCATTGTAGCAGGACCAGTTTTGGGAAGAGGAATGCAGCAATTACTTTGTTTCTGCTCTGCTAGAAAAATATTCTTTGTTCCAATGATTTACAAACTCTCTCAGCTGTCTTTTTTAATGAATTTAGATGTCTAGACACCTATTTTTGCCCCTGTTAAGGACATCTTGTCTCTGACAAGAAAAGAGAAAAAGTAAAACAAGAATTCTTAGGCATAAAGAATTTGCCCTGGTGAAATGTAACTATTTACATTTCTGTCTGACTCCATACACCACTCACCCTACCACACTGACCAATGGAACTGGTTTGGCCTTAGGTTTGACAGGCTGACTTACAAAGCCAGCAGAAAGAAGCTGCTTCTGCCCCACCCCATCCCCCCTCTCTGTAGCAGTATGCCAAGAGACTGTTGGACCAGCTAGGGTGCTGGCCAAAGTACCTCGCTAGCTGTTCTCACACATAGAAAGATGGTGTCATCAGAGTCCTTGAAGGCCCAGGATGGGTAGGCCCAGAGCTCTGGTGTGGTAGGGACAGGCTCCCTGGAGTAAGGGTTTGGCCCTCAGTCATTCATTCCCCAGTTAGTGCACACCTGTTGTTTTCCAGGCACTGTGCTAGGCACGATGCCAAACACTAGGAATATAGAGGTGAATAAAAGGAACTTAGCCACTGTCCTCACAGAGCAGACAGCTTTGAGATTGTTGAAACTGGGGATTCACAACAGTCTGTCTTTGCCTAAACAACTGCTCATGTCTGGAGCAGGGCCGTATGTGGTTCTGTCTTCTAGTCCGTGGCAGGCACAGGGCTGGGGTCGCAGTGATGTAAGAATTTAGAAACTTGCCAGAGGGCCTTCTGGGGAAATAAACAACTAATTTAAAAAATACAATATGGAGAGTTTTCTAAAACCACTGATGGAGTTCTCCT